GAGGCTCCTATAAATAGATGACTTCATTCATCATTCAAGGTACATCTAAACCTACTCTCCGGCCGCCCGGGAGATTATTTGCACAAACAATAGTGAATATGTATTTTTTGTAAATGATTGAATTCCAATTGTATTGCTCTATTTTTTTTTATGTGCAAACGGGCAATACTTCATGATTTGGATTGATATTCTAAGAGTAATAAAGTAAAGTGTAATTTCTAAAATCAACATCAGCCCTCCTTGATAACTAAAGCCTATAATCAGAAGGGTCAATAATATTTGTAGAAAGCAAAACCATTTGTAGGCTTTTCGCTTCACCATAAACACAAAAAACCAAGGCGTAGACCATAATTTGCCACAACAGTAGCATTTTTTCTGATGTAGTAAGTCATAACACGCATCAGTATAATTAAAACCCTTGATGCTATAATGAGTATTTAGCATTAGTGCTAATATATTCTCTGATGTTGTTAAACGTTTAGGCATCGAAGGTCAACCTCTTTTGGCACATGGTAACAACTTACGCATCGGAGATTATGTAAACAATGATGCCGTAAATAATCTTTAACAACGGATAATATCCAAAGTGTGTGACTATATCATACGCATCAATTGTAAGCACATATATGAATACATTTAATCCAAATAGCATATATGCAAAGAACTACACTCATCATGTGAATTGAACCATAAGAACTAAGAGTACAAGAATTGAGTCTTACCTGATGAAGCCATTGATCACAGCAGACAAGGAAGGCTTCTACTCTCAGCAGCACCGAATGCTCTAACTAGTAAATAGGACTAGGTATTTTTAGAACACATATTGCTGTGAGAGAAGGGACCTCCTTATATAAGAATACAATACAAATCAGATCCCCCCTATCAAGGAATGTGATTGCTCCTTTCAGTATTTTATTTAATTAATACCAATAGACACACCTTATTCGGGCTTGATTGCCCTCCTTATTAGGATACTCTATTAGTCAACTAATCAGGGCTCCCTCTTAGGCTTAATCATAGAAAAAATTGTGCCTTGTATATAATCAATCAAAGCCCAAATTATCTTACATTCTCCCACTTGGGCGTAGATGGATTATACTACACATATTTTACCATGACAAGTCCAAGAGTCTTTAGTGATCACTGAGCCCATATACTTGACTGAATCCTAAAGCACTAGTCAAAACTAACTCTTAATACAGAACCACAGAAAAATTCATGCATCTTAAATTGCATTAGTGTTCTGTGATTACATGGATTAGAATCAGAATTACAAGATACTTTCAATAAGATGTGATAGTGAGAAAACCCTACCAGATGTTTCCACATGTTGGTCCTTCCGAATGGTTTTGCAAACCACTTTATACTTCAGTAAAGAAGTCCTTATGTCTTGCTTAAACAAAAACAATTGTATTTCTTTCAAGTCACTTTGCAGAAGATGACATCTATCAAAACAACAAATAAACAATGTTTAAAACAAGAGCTTGTATTCTTCCTTAAATTCAAACAGTATGAAGAACTGAATTGAAAAACAATAATGACATTTATCTGCATAACTTTCTTCAGAACATAATGAAACTGAAACATGTATTAAGCAAACCTTACTCCCACTGATCAAAAGATTCAACTAATCCCATTCGAGTTACATGATCCTTAAAAACTCCCACTGGTAATGCCTTAGTCAAAGGATCAGCAATCATGGATTGAGAATCAATGTGTTCAATGATGATTTCTTCATTCTTCACTCTGTCTCTAACAACTAGATATTTTACATCCATAATCCTTGAGGCAGATGTTCTTTTGTTGTTCTTAGAGAAGAATACTGCAGCCTTATTATCACAAAAGATCTTTAATGGCCTTGATATAGAGTCCACAATCACAATATTTCCAATGAAGTTCCTCAACCACACCGCTTGTTTAGTGGCTTCATAACACCCTATATACTCAGCTTGCATAGTAGAGGTAGAAATTTCAGTTTGCTTTGCACTTTTCCAAGAAATAGCTCCACCAGCCAGGAAAAAGATGTAACCGTTTGTAGATTTTCTATCATCAATGCACCCAGCAAAATCTGAATCTGTATACCCTATTACTTCAAGTTTATCCTCTTTCCAATATACAAGCATAAAATTCTTGGTTCTCTGTAAGTAACGCAAGACCTTCTTAGCAGCTACCCAATGAGGTACACCTGGATTTGCTTGAAATCTTCCCAAAACACTAATAGCAAAAGCCAAATATGGTCTCGTGCACACCTGTGCATACATTAAACTTCCTACTAAAGAAGCATACAGCTTGTCTTGCATGCATTTCTTCTCCAATTCATTTCTTGGACATTGGTCTATGCTGAATTTATCTCCCTTGCCTATAGGAACTTCACCATGAGAACAATTGTCCATGTTGAATTTCTTAAGCACACGGTCTATGTATGCTCTTTGTGATAGCCCCAATAAATTCCTCTGCCTATCCCTCATAATTTCAATGCCAAGGACATATGAAGCTTCACCTAAGTCCTTCATCTCAAAATTGTTAAACAGCATGGATTTTGTATCTCGCAATAAATTCAAATCACTACTAGCCAAGAGTATATCATCAACATATAATACTAAGAAGATAAATTTGGAGCCATTGATTTTAAGATAAATGCATTCATCCAACTTATTTTCAATGAAACCAAAAGCAGTAACTACCTCATCAAATTTAAGATACCATTGCCTTGATGCTTGCTTGAGGCCGTATATGGATTTTTGAAGTTTACACACCATATTCTCCTTCCCCCTTTCAACAAATCCTGGTGGCTGTATCATATAAATAGTTTCAGTTAGGTCTCCATTTAGGAAAGCTGTTTTAACATCCATTTGGTGAAGCTCCAGATTAAAGTGTGCCACTAATGCCATAATAGTCCTTAAAGAATCCTTCGAAGAAACTGGTGAGAAGGTTTCCGTGTAGTCTACTCCCTCTCTTTGTGTAAACCCTTTTGCAACCAGCCGTGCCTTGTGCCTCTCAATATTGCCATTAGAGTCTCTCTTTGTTTTAAATATCCACTTACAACCAATTGGTTTCACAGCTGCATTTGCATCAACAAGTGACCAAACTCGATTCTTTTTCATAGACTGAAGCTCATCCTCCATTGCTTTTCTCCATAGATCAGCATGTTCACTTTCAATTGAGGAGAGGACGAGATGTAAGGGTTAGTGGGGCCCTTATTTATTTATTTATATAATATTTTATTAATAACAAAACAACAAAAAAAAAAACAAAACCTGTACTTTTGGTCTTTTATCAAAATCCTTTAACCAAAATAATAATGATAATTCCAAACAAACACACGATTGCAAATTTCTTTATTCAACAATTTAGTGAGCGAATTCTAAGCATATAGCAGAAGCTCTGATACCACATGTAAGCACATATATGAATACATTTAATCCAAATAGCATATATGCAAAGAACTACACTCATCATGTGAATTGAACCATAAGAACTAAGGGCTGGTTTGGGGTTGCTTAACTTAAAAAATAAGCAGCTTTAAAAAAAAGTTTTGAAGATTTGGGTGTTTGGTAAAACAAAAATAAGCTGCTTATTTAATAAGTTGCTGTCATTCAAAGCTGAAAAACAGAAGCAGGTGGGGAGCTGCTTCTGAAAACTGCTGCGAGGAGAAGCATGCGGAAGGTTTAATGAAATTTTCATATTACCCATATTGCCCTTATTTGTTTCAAACAATTACAGACTTTTATCCTCGTTATCCCGGTTCGAGCCTCCCAGTAGTTGTTCCTCTTGGATTTTTTGTAGTTGTTTTGTTTTCTCTCTGCAACTTGCTCACCTCATCCTCTCTCTGCAACTTTTTCCCTTCCTCAATCCCTCAAAGCTAGAGTAATAAAGTAAAGTGTAATTTCTAAAATCAACATCAGCCCTCCTTGATAACTAAAGCCTATAATCAGAAGGGTCAATAATATTTGTAGAAAGCAAAACCATTTGTAGGCTTTTCGCTTCACCATAAACACAAAAAACCAAGGCGTAGACCATAATTTGCCACAACAGTAGCATTTTTTCTGATGTGGTAAGTCATAACACGCATCAGTATAATTAAAACCCTTGATGCTATAATGAGTATTTAGCATTAGTGCTAATATATTCTCTGATGTTGTTAAACGTTTAGGCATCGAAGGTCAACCTCTTTTGGCACATGGTAACAACTTACGCATCGGAGATTATGTAAACAATGATGCCGTAAATAATCTTTAACAACGGATAATATCCAAAGTGTGTGACTATATCATACGCATCAATTGTAAGCACATATATGAATACATTTAATCCAAATAGCATATATGCAAAGAACTACACTCATCATGTGAATTGAACCATAAGAACTAAGAGTACAAGAATTGAGTCTTACCTGATGAAGCCATTGATCACAGCAGACAAGGAAGGCTTCTACTCTCAGCAGCACCGAATGCTCTAACTAGTAAATAGGACTAGGTATTTTTAGAACACATATTGCTGTGAGAGCAGGGACCTCCTTATATAAGAATACAATACAAATCAGATCCCCCCTATCAAGGAATGTGATTGCTCCTTTCAGTATTTTATTTAATTAATACCAATAGACACACCTTATTCGGGCTTGATTACCCTCCTTATTAGGATACTCTATTAGTCAACTAATCAGAGCTCCCTCTTAGGCTTAATCATAGTAAAAATTGTGCCTTGTATATAATCAATCAAAGCCCAAATTATCTTACATCAATTCCCAATACTTCGGTTCTTAGGTATCTTTAGCAACGGATAATATCCGTTGCTAAAAGTCAATTTTCACATAGTGTATAATTCTAATTACTATGAATATAAATTCAGCAATAAACTATAAATTTTATTTGGTCTACAAAAAGAATTCATTTAAACTAACTAAATAAAAGGTCATGCACAACAAAAATTATACCACATCAGTGGACAAAAACACAAAGCAAGTTAATTGACCCCAAAAAGAAAATTATAAGACCTTACTAAAATACAAAACCCAAAAGACTTAACACAAAAGCAATAACAGCAAATCCAAGCTTCGAAGAATTAAGAGTTGAACCACTGCTTAGAGTTGAGCTTGGTGACATCTCTTCAAGATTAGAGGCTGAAGGTGATGAGTATCCATAAGGTGACGACGGGCTTGGACTTGGGATCAAATTTTCTGGAACAGGCAGAGTGACCTTGATGTCAACCTTTTGTCCGGCTTGGCAATGGCCAGGAGCACCACAAAGAAAGTAATATTGGCTGGGCCTTTTAAGGGTAATTGTGTTAGAACCAGAGGTATAAGACGAGATGGCAGATGTAGCATTGCAAGATTGAAAGTCTTGATCAGAAACTTGCATCACATTGTGGAATTGATTGTGTAAGCAAAAATGAGAGTGTCGCCGACGTGAAAATCTTTCGTTGAAGCCCACTCATTGTAATCAACAAGGCCTCTCGAAGTCCACCCATCAGAATCTCCAACTCTATAAACAGAACTAGAATAAGCACCACTGAACGCCATCATCATAAAGAAAGCAAGAGTAGCAATGTTTCTCAAAGCCATGATTAGAACAAGCAGAGCAGAGAAAAGATGAACAAATTTAGAATGAAAAGAAAACCCAAATTTTGTGTGTGAAAGGTACTACGCACGGCCTTGCATTTATATAGGGTTAGGGTGTGTTGTATCCGAGTCCCATTCTGAAAAGGTTTCCAAATACTACTAGTAGTAGGAAACATACATCTTTTCATAAATGGATTAATAAAAGAAGGCGCAAGGCCAAATTTATAATTGTTTTGCTTGGTTTTTTTTTCTTTTTTTTTCCAATTAAATACTCATTAAAATAGAATTGTACAATCCAATGTCAAATCCAATGTGGTATTTTTAGCATGTAGAAAAATAGTTGAAATTCACTCTAACCGAAATGTTAAAGTCCAAGTGGAATAATATTTCTCCCTTATGCTATCATTTTTGGCAGTTTGACCTTGTGATGTTATTGATCCTTCAAATAATCTAGCGGTCCAAATCTCTCCACGTCAACATTATTAGTTTTTTTTTCCTTTTCTACCATAAAGACACTACTGTTAGTTTAATTTTCTTTTCTGCACACCCAAGTTTAATAAAATCGATAGAAGCAAATTCATATTCATTCATCTCCAATTTGTCCATGATATCTCAACTTTAAATCTGAATCGGTTCAAAAATAAATGATGAACGTACAAACTTGAACATATTCAAAAACCCTAGCCACAGAGAGAGAGAGAGAGAGAGAGAGAGAGTTTTAGATTCAGGGGGTTTTCCCCCACCCAATTCCGTCCGATCTTCACTGTTCTTTGGCTTTTGGTAGACTTATATCAATCTACTCTTTCCTTCAGCCAGGGCCATAAATACACTATGGGCTATAGTGGGCTGCAGCCCAGGGAGGTTTTGGGTGAAAATATGATAGGTTGACTGTGAAATTGGTTTTTAGATTGAAGATCAGTTAATCAAATTAGGACATTGCATCACCGCTTCCCAAAATTTAATTCAATTGCTCTGTTTATTCACGTTTCAATTGGTTAGTTTATTCAAAGTACCAGGCTATATATGATTATACTAGGCCATACCGACTCCCAATCTTCGGATTTTAATGGTTAAGTGCAACATTTATCCCATTTAAGTTTCTCCTTAATATTAATTAGTCTCTTCGCAAGCGCTTCTGCACCTACGAGATGATTTTTTTTAAAAAATTTAAATTTGTTTTAGGATTAAAAAAGATATTGGGTAGTTGTGTTTTATAAAAATAGGATCCATTATTTGAATTTTCTTTTAATTTTAATTTTTTTTAATACGAAAAAGTGTGAATTTACCATATTATCCTCATTTAATTAATAATTTCAATTCTTAATATTTGCATTAACCAATGGCATTTTCTGGTATCTTAAATGTTTTACCATTCTCTGTCTTTTGCTTTATATATATATATATATAGATTATTGAGAAAACCCCAAAAGGAAATTATGAATTTGGACAATGAAAAAAAGAACAAAGTTTAGCATTAGCTCCACATCAGTATCCATCCAAAAAAAGTCCAAATTTTTATGAACTTAGTTGCAGGACATCAATAAAAATACACATTAAAATAAGTATACTTGTAATTTTATTGTTGAACATATTTTCATTTTGATAATATGTGTTTTGCGGTTGCATTTTTAATATTTATTCGTTTTATATTAAAGCTTATTGAAAGTTCGAGTTGTTTATAACCAAGGTGGTTGGTGTGAGTGGTTTGGCACTCTCATTCCTTAAAAGAGGTCAGGGGTTCGATCCCTGCTCTTGTACGGAGTCACCACTTTGGCCAGCACTTTACCCCTTAAGGGCCAACCCAGTGTGAGCGGGGATTAGTCTGGGTTGTGGTTAAGGCTTAAAGATGCCACCCATAATTGGGGCCCATCCAGGACCACCTCGTGGTTCAGACTAAAAAAAAAAAAAGTTCGAGTTGTTTATAAAATAGCAAACTAAAGTAATGCGTAGTAAACAGTAAACTTTTTTATGAGATGAGACCATCATAGAAACATTAAACTTAGAAAATTACACAAATACTAAAACTGAACTTTATTGCAAATTGATCCTAATCAAACATCACACTGGTCATATCCTCTCGCATGCCGTTGACTGATGAGCCGTCGTTATTATTTTCAAATTCCCATTGTCATTAATATGATTATTATCAGAGGAAACTCGAGCTTGGATCCGGTCGCAAAAGTAGCTCGCAAATTTGGGCAAGGGAGTTTTCTGGTCGCTCATCAACTGAGCCCTATACCTGGACCAAACCGAAAGCTTAAGGCCGAACCTGAGCGACAAAGTTGTGGTGTTGCCATCCGAGATTTCTTTGACCACGTCATTGGCCACGTACGCGCTGAGCATGGGGAGTTTGAAACTGATACCTATTTGGTCCCTCGTGGATAAAGCGAAGGGGACCAAGGACGTCGCTGCGAGCACCACGAGTTCCTTCTCCTTCTCCTCGTGCCTCTGCGGCAGCTCCGTAATATGTTGGTAGCAGCCGGGTCTGTAGAAGAGAAAGGCCTGGAGGCTGTCGCAGTCGATGTCCCACTTGTCGTTGGGATTTGTGGCGAGTAGCGTCAGATCCCAGGTTGCGGTTAATTCGGAGGAGGAGGGGCGAGTCGCATTAATGTGTGGGTACTGTAGGGCCGCTGAGTGGACTCGGAACTCGGGGTTAAACCCTTCCGGTGGCCTCAAGATGATCAAGGTTCCGAGTAGTATCATACACGGCAGGTAAAAGTAGGTGAATACCTTCCATTCGCGCGAAGGATCAAAAGCTTGGCGTCTCCTTGGATTATTCGTTCGACTTGGGCATCTATGGTGATCTGGTTGTCTTCTTCGGCTCCTCTGGTAGTAGTTGCTACGCATTGCTTGATTAATTGTTAATGATTTGAGAGAGATCCACATTCAATATTCAAAGGGCTAATTAATTGTTAATGATTTGGTTGACTCAAAAGATGAGAGAGAGAAAGACGGGAAAGCCACACATATATGATATAACCGAAACCTCCTGCACCTGAAATGATCAACCCTTATAATACTAACCAAATTATTTACTCAAAATTCAACTTCTCACACGTGCACGCATGTCAACGTACGTGCTTTTATTTGTTTTCATTTACTTTATTCACATTTGACTAATTCTATTTTACGTATTTGTTCCTTAAGTAAGTGTTGTGTTTTGAAAACCTTCCTTGAATGACGACAATTTTGTGAATTTTCGAAAAACTAAACCTAGGATCTTTAAGGCAAATTAATACTTGTTTCTGTTTCATCTGAGTTGATTGCATCAGCCATGGTTGGGTGCCCTTCCTCCATCCAAACTAGCAGCAAATCAGAACAAGTTAAAGCAAACTTGGCCCCCTAAATTAATACTTATGTTGATTGTCTTGATCCTATTCCGTCTTTTTTTAAATAAAAAAAAACTTTTTGTATGTATCCTTGTATTGGTTTTGGTTTTTTGTGTGTCAATAATTTTAAAAAATTAATATTTACCATTTTGTGTACTTTGTAAGGTTGGTTGTACTGCCTAAATCAAAAGAAAGTTGTGGCAAGAAATTTTTTACCCATTACTGAATAGTTAATATGATCAGATTCATATGATAAGAATTGGAAATTTTGTTTCCAAATTTCAATACACACTTTCTTATAAATGGTAAATAAATCTTTGAGTACAAGCAATTGGGGAAGTGGGGTTTACACAAATATTCATTGGGTGTCTGGGGTTTCGAACCTCTACCCACATGAGTAGAGGTAGAAATAGCTTAACCAACTGAGCTATACCGAATTGACATGAATGGTGAATAAATTGTTGAACGATCAAGTAATTATTTTTGTGTGATTCTTATCTCGAACATGTAACTCATTTTCTTCATGGCATGGACAACTTGTAATAGTTTGATTTATGTGTTTCCCATTGTGCCAATATTGGTCTAGCTAGGCTGCAATTTTAATGCATGGAATTAACATGTTTAATTGGAATGTCATATGTACATATATACGCCCCTTGTAAATTAAAATTCTAACTAAGTAAAAGGTCATGCATAACAAAAATTATACCACATCAGTGGACAAAACCCAAAAGACCTAACACAAAAGCAATAACAGCAAATCCAAGCTTCGAAGAAATAAGAGATGGAGCACTGCTAAGAGTTGAGCTTGGTGACATCTCTTCAGGATTGGAGGCTGAAGGTGATGAGGATCCATAAGGTGACGACGGGCTTGAACTTGGGATCGAATTTTCTGGAACAGGCAGAGAGACCTTGATGTCAACCTTTTGTCCGACTCGGCAATGGCCAGGAGCACCACAAATAAAGTAATAATGGCAGGGCCTTTTAAGGGTAATTGTGTCAGAAACAGAGGTATAAGATGAGATGGCAGATGTAGCATTGCAAGATTGAAAGTCTTGATCAGAAACTTGCATCACGTTGTGGAATTGATTGTTGTAAGCAAAAATGAGAGTGTCGCCGACATGAAAATCTTTCGTTGAAGTCCACTTGTTGTAATCAACAAGGCCTCTCGAAATCCACCCATCAAAATCTCCAACTCTATAAACAGAACTAGAATAAGCACCACTGAACACCATCATCACAAAGAAAACAAGAGTAGCAATGTTTCTCAAAGCCATGATCAGAACAAGCAGAGCAGACAAAAGAGGAACAAATTTAGAATGAAAAGAAAACTCAATTTTTTTTATTTTTTATTTATGAATAGGTGGCAAAGTCACGACCTTGCATTTATATAGGGTTAGGGACCTTAGTATATATGTTTTTTTTTTTTTTTTTTAAATTTGCTCATTTCATTTTTTTATTTTTATGAATAGGTGGCAAAGTCCCAAAAAACAACGAAGCCTACTTAAATAGAATAATTTCATTCGACTAACCAAAAAAAAAAACAAAAACAAAAGTACATGATCCATAAACAACAAAAATCATATTTAGGTTCGTAGAGCTTCTAAAATTTCAACAAAACAAAACAAAAGTTGTCAAGTGGCTTAGTGGCTCTTCAATAGGGCTTAGTTCTCAAGTGGCTCAATTGTACACAAAAAGCTGCTTTGACTTCCACTCCATCATCTTCAAATCAAAAAACAAAAGCAGCCACATTAAAAGTACAACCAATCATTGAAAAATTCTTGATCTTCTAGCATTTTGAGAAGCTAAATCATCAATAACCTCTTCAAAATCAATATTTTCCAACATATTCTTTTCAATACATAAGATTGCCAATCCATTTAACCTTTCTTATGACATAGTTGATCGCAAATAAAATTTTATTAATTTTAATTTTGAAAAACTTCTTTCTGTAGATGACACAGTTACTGGAAGAGCCAATATAATTCTATAAGCAATTGAGACATTTGGAAAACAATCCACAACTTTTACAAACTCAAGAACTTCAATGATTGTCTTTGTCTCTTTCGGTAGAAGTTGGAAATAGAAATATGTGTAATTTTTTTTATTTTATTTTTTAAATTTGGGAATCTGTAATATTTATACAAATTTTGAGGCCCCAAAAATCGGACGCCCATGGCCGTTGCCTTTGGTGCCCAGGCCCAAGGTCGGGCCTTGTTAGGGTGTGTTGTATTCGAGTCCCATTCTGAAAAGGTTTCCAAATACAACTTCCTTTTTTTTGGGCATGAATTTCCAAATACTACTAGTAGTAGGAAATATACATCTTTTCATAAATGGATTAATAAAAGAAGGCGCAAGGCCCAATTTATAATTTTTTTTGGGAATAATTTAGTCTAACAACACTCTCTTTTTTTTTTTTTTTCTCAATCGAATACTCATTAAAATAGAATTGTACAATCCAATGTCAAATCCAATGTGGTATTTTCTGCTGAATGACTGCGCCTATATCTTCTTTACTAGCTGTGCGAAAACTATTGGCGCTATCCTCAATGAAAGTGGTTTCTTTGTAGGGAGCAGCTATTATATCCTTCTGCTTAATCACCATTTCGGGTGGATGTACGGCTTTGACTGACTTCCCATCTTGGGAAGTATAAGTCGAGAACGGGCTTCCTATCATTTCTATATGACTCCTATATTCAGGAATGTTATATTTCTGAGCACACCAATCTAACCACATAAAGAAAAAACAATTCAATTTCTTTTCTTTTATAAAAGCGGTATGGGCTTTCCAGAGATGGTCTTGCCTATGCTTCTGAAAGATTGTTTCAAACTAGATTCTTTTATTAACATTTTCAATACTCAGATAATTCCTTTTTATTTTTTCGTGCTCTATTTCAAAGGATTTTAACATATTTATTTCAAATTCTACATTCGAAAAGGCTTTCATGGTCTAAATCGTATTTCTCCTAAATCGTAGGTCCGGAAGGGTTTGTTCAAACCTATAGGCTGGCCTCTGTGTCTGTTCTTGGGTTCTCCTAAGACCTGCTTGAACCATTCTTTCATGGTCTAAATCGTAAGCTCTATCAGAGGAGGTACTGGATCTGTGTGGTTCTAGGTTAGATCTAGAGGGTGCTAGATCAATCCTAGTTTTTCTAGCGCTGTTGAATTGTATTTCTACCTCTCCAGTAGTGAATTGCGAGATCCGCGTAGGCTCCTGATTTTCAAGGGGCTTCTTTGGGGCTACCTCATCCAAAATCCACATTTCTGGTAGAGTTATATCACTCCACTTTATCATTTTTAGGACTGCTACGTTTGACTTTTCAAGGTCTGTTTGGAACAAGGTAGTTTCACCTTTACTGTCTAAATGTTTAGCTTTGGAACATACAGTGTTCATAACCTTATATGAAACCCTATAAATGATTGCTAGATTTTGGGATCCTGGGTCCATATCATAACCCTAAGTCTGAATATTCAACGTTAAAGCTTTCAAGACATTTATATTAGAAAGTGCAACATAAAAGTTTGGAAAGCAGTTAAAATATATCGGGCCTTCTCCTAAGGTTGACTAGACTATTCCTAACAAAGAATTTGTGAACTTTCTATGTCTTCCATCTCTTACACAAATTGAACTAGGCAATCTTGTCTTGGTAAGTGGCTTCACCGCTACTTGCACCAATCCTATGTGCAAATAGTTATATTTCCTATCCAAATGCTGGTCGATTTGACGATGGGTAAATAGCTAGAAACTATCACTTTTATCAATAACTGATATCGTTTTTTCAACAATTTTTATTGCATAATCAGATCGGAACTTGAAAGATCCTTTATAATATATATGAGTTATGGGTACTCTGGGTATATCCCAGTGGCATAACTCATTTTCTACGTTCTGCATGGTTATTTCTTGAGAGTTTTTAACTCTTAGGGTTCTATGGCTATAACTGCTACTAGAGCTTGCTTCTCCAGAAGAACGGGTAGACAAGATTCTCCTAAGGCTTGCCATTGTAAAATTCTTGGTTTTATGCTTTCCTCATGTTCTCCTCCTAATTCAAGGTTGCTAGTCCCTGCCTAGGTCTCTCAACACCTCACGCCTCTCTGGCATTGGCTAACGAGCCTATCGACAGCTAGACAACTCGATGACTAGTGAGTAAAGGAAACCTGACAGAAAAACCAGAAGTTTAAACATGCAAAACTTAGTTAGAACCTTAAACCTAACAACTCTTCTAGGGACTGGCAAAAGTGTGGGCGATGCAACCGAAGAACGATCCACTACATTTCTTGAATTTTGCATAGGCATCTACTTGGGAGAGCTCTAGGCCATTTAAAGGTTGGCCAAAGGGACCCTTTACCAAAATAGATTCCGCCGCTAGAAAGGATACCAAATCAAAGAAAGCTCAACCTGATGCCAAGAAACCCGACCACTCGAGTTCGGCGGATGGCAAATTTGATTGGTATCATTGGTTAAAGATTCTAGAACCAAAGCTCAGGGATCAATGGAAGAAGGTCGGAATATATGATACATTGTCTCTATAAGGGAATTACCATCTTATGCAATTTTTTGTATGATTTATGAGAGAATAATTCATTTTTTTTAAGGGAATTATTCTTTGCCATAAGTAAAGAGATTGGGTAATATCCACGTGGGCGTCTCCTAAATGATTGCCGAAAATCTATGTTCCAACAAATGCCCCCCCAGCTTCTGCATTATGCGTGTAGGGCATGTTTAAGAGTGACAGTGTCAGAACCCGAGGTGTATGTTGCGATAGCAGAGGTAGCATTGCAAAATTGAAATTCTTGATCAGAAACTTGCATCACGTTGTAGAATTGATTTTTGTAAAAAAAAATATATATATATTGTATCGCCGATGTGAAAGTCTTTTATTGAAGCCCATTTGTAATCAACAAGGTCTCTCGAAGTCCACCAATCAGAATCTCCAACTCTATAAGAAACACCAGAACAAGCACTATTGGGCACCATCATCACAAAGAACACCCGAGTAGCAATGTTTCTCAAAGCCATGATCAGAACAAGCAGAGCCGATTAATATTAAAAGAAAAAAAAAGAAAAAAGAAGGGAGTAAAAACAAATTCAGACTGAAAGAAGAAAGCTTAATTCATTGTGTGTGAAATGAAAGCGACTATGCACGACCATGCATATATATATATATATATATATATAGGGTGTGTTTTATTCTTGTCCCATTCTGAAAAGGCTTCCAAATACAACCTTTTTTGGGTCAAAGGTTTCCAAATACTGCTAGTAATAGGAAATATAACATCTTTTCATTAATGGATTAATATTAAAGTTAGTGCCAGCCAAACTCCAGAAATATCTTGAAATTGACAAAAAATTAAAGAGAAAAAAGAAAGAACTAAAACTTAGATCCGCTAACAACATAAAGTGAATCGAGAAGAAAACATTAAAGTAAAACATAGTTCTTTGGATCAGATAAAAGGTTTGCCATGCTATATTTGCCCGGCAGAAAAGTACTAAAGTAGACAATAGAAAGTTACAAGTAGATGGTATGAGACATTCTAATACAGTGAAGTAGACTATAGGAAGTTACAAGTAGATGGTAGAAGACAGTACAAAGTCTCAAGCAGATGGTAGAAGACAATACAAAGTTACACGTAGAAAGTCTCAAGTAAAGTAACCATGAAATCACAGTGGTGGATAGTAGAAACCACAACCCTTGATGCTCCTGCTCCTAATACCCTTTCTTGTGCATGGATGAATCACTCACGCCTTTGACTTCTTGTGTCCATATTACTAAACCTTTAAATTAGAAAAATAGTTATAAATACATAATTGATATACTTGAAAATCTAAGACTTAAACAAATTTATTATGTACCTCATGTGGTTAATTTGGGCATTCAACCATTTAGAAAGCCGCTTAGCAACACTGGTACTTAACAGTAACCAGAATATTGCAAAACACTGTCCCCCTGTTGATTGAAAGTGTTTATCTCCAAACCCGACTGTTGTAACTGAGGCAACTGTTAAATAGAAAGCATCTGTCCAGCTCATGCCCTCAATGAAACGTATTGCAACAGTTCCAGATCCAAGTAACAATGATATTCCAATGACTGCCAAAAGAAGGTTGATGGGGCAAACATTGGAGTACCATTCCTTTTGCCGAAGCCACATTACCACCTTATAATGAATATAATCGAACATATCTTCCACACAATCAGCCACAAAGAAGAAGCCAATGGAAATTAAAACACACATCAAAAATTTGTCCCTGTGCACTAATGGCACCAAGTCTCCATATCCCACGCTGGTCAAGATGACGACGGTCCCATAAAATCCTTCCAACAAACTCTTACCAATATTCCAAAACAACAGCACGCCAAGAATGAAATATACAATGATGTAATTCATGTTAGGCATCGCTAATTGAAGTGCTTGTTGACGTGATTTCTCATCTACTCCTACAATTTCGTGACTCTGTCTCGATGGGCCACGGATATTTTTTGCGCCACCCTAAAATGAAGAATTGACGTGACTTACCAATTATTTTGAAACCTATAACAAGTTATTTCTATTTTGCATAATTGAAACCTATATAATCAAACTCAAATCAAACGAACTCAACCCCTATAAAAAAATTTAGAGTTAAATCAACATCGACAAAAAAAACTCCACACCACAATGACAAAACATTGAATACAACGGAAACCACAAAAACACAAGAAAAGTCAATCTACAAGTGACTGAAAAAATTATGGATGCTCTACAAAGGAAACCAGAAACACACAAGAAAAGTCAATCTACAAGTGACTGAAAATATTATGGATGCTCTTGAGCTGAGCATCTTATGGTCTTGCTGCCAGCAAAACAAAGAGGAAATCACATCCTCTTTAACTGGTTTAAGTTCCATGGACAAGAGAAAGGAATAGTATTAAAAAGAAAATGGAGGAACCGTATAGAAAATCTCAAACAAACAGCACAAAGCTTCACTAATTCTGTTTACCAATCCATGAAAGTAAAAAATCATAAGGAATGTTACACGCCAAATAAAAAACACTACGGAAGGAGTGTTTTGAGCAAAGACTAGTTTCTCAAATCAAAACTCAAGAGCACCAATTTTTTCCAATTATTGCTGCTGCAATCATCAAGAAAAATAACAATACAAGTGCAAAAGAGAGTCAGCAAGGTTTAGGACAGCTAAATCAGACAAGGTTAGTCAAAGAGGCTCAATAAAAATGCTTGTGGCATTCGGGACTAAATGCCTCAATGTTTTCATGAACTAAAAGTAACAAGAGTTTTTTCAAATGGATGTTGGCTGTCAAAACATGCCAATTAAGCCCCGATAAAGAAAAACAGATGGAGGTTGACCCATTTTTCTTCAACACCCACCAATCAACTCACAAAGCTAGGTAGAAAGAAACCAACCTACAGGGCCAATAGCCTAACTAAAACAAGTAATAAGATGAGTAGCCAATAACGACATCAGTGAAGGGTCAATAGCCTACAGTCCTAAACACATGGAGTGGCCACTAACTAACTAAATCACTATAAGCCCATTAGCCTGTAGTCTTATACCAACCCGTGTACTCTTATTCTCATCCAATCTAATAAAACACTTTGTTTCAACTATTATCCTATTGTCAATGAGAGAGGAAAGCAACAACTTCATGAGGGGAATGGGCGAGTAAGTAGAATTGATTTTGTTCAATTGGGTTGGAAATGCAACAACCCGAGTTGCCGAAGCAAAGCCTAGCCCATTGTAATGGGCTGGTTTAGCAACGACTTCATGAGGGGAATGTGTGAGTATGTGGAATCGATTTTGTTAAATTGGAATGGACATGCAACAAGTCAAGTTGCCAAAGCAAAGCCGAGCCCATTGTAATGGGCTGGTTTTGGTTAGCTCAATTTGGTAATCAAAATTTTAAAACAAACGGATCTAATCGATTCGGCTAAAAAAATAAAAGAAGATGGCCCAAATATTATATGAAACACGAGAAATACATTAAACTTGGGCTCGACATTTACCAGGCAAATTGGGGAGCTTCTATAATGAAGGGGATTTTGGTGAGAGGGGGTCAATAAGGAGCTCAATCAAACCATTCAAAAGTTGAAGTCCAATATTCTCTCTCTTGTTGAATGGTGGGATTGTACTCCTCATTGACCCCCTTCACCCACAACCCTTTCATTATAGAGGGCAAATTGACCGAATTAGATCAATCAATCCAATTTAGTGCATTGGTTTTCTTTTACTCTTTTCTGTTTTTTTTTTTTTTTTTTTCAAATTGGTTTGGTTCACATTTCCTTTATTTTCAAACCACCGATTCGTTCAAACTGAGCACAACATAAAATAAATAAATCGCAGGTTCACTCGAGCCGAACAACATAAACCGCAGAATATTCAAAAACCACTTCCAGTAAGAGTCAAACCCCTGAAATAAGCCAATTTCTTTTATACAGAATCAGCCCCTTACAGGGCCAAAGTTGATCTCAAATATATAAAATAAGAAGGCTCAAATATTATATGAAATACATAAAACTTGGGCTGGGCATTTCGAACCATCAACCAAGCGAATTGGGAAGCTTCTTTATGAGGGGGATTTTGATGAAGGGGCTCAATGAGGAATTCAATCCAACAATTCAATTATTTCTAACATTTTCTCTCTTGTTGGATGGTGCGATTGAACCCTCTAACCCACAACCCCCTCATTATAGCATTTCCACGAAAATTGACCGAATCAAACCAATCAATCCAATTTAGTGCATCGGTTTTTTTGTTATTTTGTTTTTCAAATTCGTTTAGTTCACATTTCCTTTATTTTTGAACTACCGATTCATTCAAACCAAGCAACCTAAAATGCATAAATCGCGGATTCACTCGAGCCGAACAACATAAAACATAGAATATCAAAAACAACTTCCGGTAAGAGTCAAACCCCTGACCCCAACAGAGAATTATAACACCATATCAGTGTGGTCGCACATTAGACGTCCACTTAAAACTCATCTTCTTCATCAACACTTAAAACTTAATATAAAACTCTAATGTTCCATAAAGCTTACAAACAAAAGTACCATACTTAATGTAACAGGGGTGAAAAACGCCTTAAATTTTTCGACCCTTGTCCGGCACTTAGACTCCTCCTAAGTCAGCCTTCTCTTCACCTCTAAACCCGCGAGGCTTCAGAGTACACACAGCGGAACACATAAACACAAAGCTTACGGGACAACTCACTCCCAACCTTTATATTACTCCACAATAAAAAGGAATACAAGCTTTTGTTTCGTATTGGGTCACCACATCACATTTGGTGCCTCAATGCCGCCCACCCTAAGGCACGGTGCCTCTCTAGACACTCATTCACGACTCAATGGGTTTCACTCAAGACATGGGTAGGTCAGCACAACACTTGCTGCCTTACCCCTCTCTATGTCTCTCTATGCCTACTCTAGACACACTCCCCCATTTCGTCTCCTTGAGAGTCTCCCCTCTCAAGTCCCCATTAGTCTCCCCTAGTGTCTCCCAAGAGTCTCTACCTCCTAAGAGTTCCAAGAGTCTTCCCCCTCTTGTCCTTGATCTCTCAAGTTGTCTACAATGCCTACACAAAGGCCTATTTATAGACTATCATGACATATGTAGTTTTCCTCCTAAAAATCACCATGCCACTATCCCACTAAGGAACCCATGAACTCCTACTTTCAAGGCTTCCTTTTTGCTTGTGGCTCCATGTGTCAATGTCAAGGCCATGACATGCCATCATGCCATGTTGTATGCCTACAAAGGTGCAAGGTAACCGCCCACTCCTTCCACTGACATTGCCTTCTCCACATGATGCATCCCATGCATGCCACTGTGCATAACCGCCCAGACATGCCCTTTATCTCGCTGCACATCTGTTGGAAATACTCCTCACAAATGCCCATGTAACTGCCCACACAATCTGCCAGCAACCGTCACACAATCTGCCAGCCAACTGCCAGCACGATCTGCCAGCAATCTGCCAGCACTCTGCGCACAACCTGCCAGACAACTGCCCACACGATCTGCCCACGCAACTGCCCACGATCTGCCTACGTGCTGCCTGCATGCTGCTGTGCTGCACGGCCCTACTTGTGCTGCCAATGTGCGCTGCGCACTTGTCCCACATGCGCTGTCAAGGCTTCCAAGGCAATCTGCCGACGCTTCTCGCAAGCTTCCGCCGACACCCTTCGACATCCATCTTGCCACGCTTGTCTTGTCCTTGTGCCCACTTAAGACACCTTCCCTTGGCATGGTCCAAGACATCAAACCATGTTGCTGCCTATGGCAAGTGTCAAGGGTCTTACAAACCACCCCCACTAAAAGAGTTCGACGTCCTCGTCGAACCTTGGGCTTGTAAGCACTCAGCTTCAAGATCCGCACCTTTCTCCTAGGTCAACCTCGCTGCTTCCCTTGAAACTTTTGAAAGTTATGCAATGACACTTACACACTTCCATGCTTGACTCCACCAAGCCTTTCTTCTTTCACTTCCCCTCCTAGGAAGTTCCATGACACAAGGAACTACAAGAACCTTCTACCAAGCACCCATGAACCACCCATAATTTGTCATAAGTACTTGATAACACTTACTTGTAGCCACTAGTTGGTCTATGTGTGGATCTTGTGAAGTCCTCATGCTTTGACACCTCCAGCCTTCTTGCTTGTGACCTGCATGCTGCCCCTTCCAACACTTAGCCAATCTTCTCACAGCCTAGCCCAACGCCTATCCATGACACACCCATAACTTACGCTGCCTTGTATCACTGCTTTTTTTTTTTAACACGAACCTGCACTCCTCTAATGAGAACTTACTCTTCACATTGGCCTTCGAGAGTTCATAGGTTCAACCATCTCTATGGTTTCTCTCTTGTGATGCCTTCTCAAAGTCATCGACTTCTTATCTTCGGAAGTACTTACTAGTATCGCACTTCTCATTGCGACGTTCACAACATCGACTTCTCCATCTTCGAAGTGCCCACTAGGACAGCACCTCTTCTGCGACATCCACTTTGACATCGACTTCTCACAACAGCAACCTTCATCTCTAGGTTCTGTTCTCTTTCAGGATAGCCACTCTTCTGCCCTTCTCCAACTTTTGCCGTGTGCACCTCCTCCAGAACATGGCACCAATCTTGCTCCGTTTGCATCAGCATATAATGTTGGACAGCACCGAAGAACTCTTCCAAGAATGCCACTCCGCAGCATCAAACTCTCCCTAGCTTGACTTGCTTCCATTTTTAAGTGCAAGAACCAAGTTCTTCCTTAACAAGACTTGCACTTGCGAACAAGACCATATCCAATCCCATTCGCCACCACGAGCCAACTTTAACTTAGTTATACTCAAAACAAGATATGTGTACAATTCAGATATTCGGGAGCCCCATGAAAGTCTTTGCCTAACTTC